TCCCTGCAAAATATAAGAAACTCAATTAAATGGGTGTTTGGTTTGAACCACAAGCCACAAACACGAGCCAATGCATTAAATGGACCAAGTCTTCTAGAGCTGATTTTGACTCTAGATAAGTCACTACATAGTGATACTTCTTCTGAGTAAGATCAGACTTAAAAAGGGATCATATAATTTTTTGCCTTTACTATTTCTAGCCCCATGTACCACTCTTGCACTTCCACAGCATCTGCTGTTTGAATATATAACACAAGTAAATCTCACAATACTTGGGTAAATCTTAATCCATTAATGCATGCAAAGCCAAGGCACAAAGAAGTGATTTATATAATTGTGAATACTAATGAGTATGTGATGAGTATGTGCTTCAAGATGATTACATTCCATGCACTTATAAACTCTTCTGAAGACATAAACTGTTAAGAAATAAAATGAGTTCTGCTTTCCTTACTAGTTTGTTTGGGGTTTTTTTAGAAATAAACCTGAATATTTAATTATGGGTTTATTATTCTGTGAATCAGTTTACAGTGATCAGTGGATATAATTTTTAGTATGAAAATGTTATTTTTGCATATTACAGTTCCAGGCATACATTATCCTTTCATGAAAACATTTCAATCTTCAAGTCTTTATGCAAAAGATTGGCCCGTGGGCTCTGCACAGGATGTAAATTAAGTTCTTGTTTGGCTAAATCTGATTACCCTGTAGGGTACCAATCTTGCTTAGTGACAGTGGAAGCTAAAAATTGCAAGCAGGACAGTCCACTTGAAATGGGGCCAGAAAGGGTCAGTTTCTAAACAGCAAATCTGAAGTTTGAACTAGATTGTAATAGCATGCCTAAGAATTTTCAGTTAAACATAGAAGCTGTCTCCTCCATAGCTGCTATCATTGCTTTTAAATATCATAATGAAATTGAGAAAAGCTCTTATTTTTTTAAGTCCAAGTCTTTATTAATCATATGTAAAGATGCTGCAATCACTTTAACCCAGCCTTTAGTCAGTCTGCAGCTTAATTCCCATTTGACACTTCCTTTCTCCTCTCATATTCTAGCAAAATTAATGGTCCAACAGAGAAATTCAGTGAATAGGAAAATGCCACACAATATCAAAACAAAACCACCTCAAGTCAATACAAACTAAACCTATTTGAATATTACCAAAATAATGTTGACTTAGCATATGAGAGAGACTAAAAAGGCACATGCTGACACTACTGAATATGAACTACTGCTGTTCCTTCTGACAGGATTAGCTAAATACTTAAATGATAAGAACACTCCCCTGTATTTTTCCTATACTCAGAAGATGTGCACAGAAAAGTCACTCTTTGATCTATTTCACTAGCTTCAGTTACTGTAGCAGGCTTTTGTATACATAAAAATTTTATTTTTAGTAGTCTTTGGCATCTCCTTAGCTTTCCTTTGATGTCTAAAGGTTTTATGATCAATAATATCTAAAAGCAGCTGGTATTATTGCAATTGCTCTGAGTCAAGGATAAAACCAAACAAAAGTAATGCAACACTGGTGAAAATGATACAGCTCTTGGCTGTTCAGAAAATGTAATTATCTCAGTAAATGCATGTGGTTTTTAGTAATGAGATTCAAAATTTCAGACAGATTAATTTTAATAACATCTTTTCACAGTGGTTCTATTAGATATTTTAAATCTACTTAAATCAGACCTCAACACTTACCTAACAGATAAATACCTCACTCCCTCAATAGGTTTTAGATGAAGGGACTCAGCACTCCACACAGAATCCTAATGAATTTGAAGGGGGAAAAGGATAAAACCAGGGCTGGAGATAGCCTGGGGCAGCACGCCAGTGTCTGAGGGATGGTGTGCCGGGGAGCTCCTTTCATCTGTTGTCTCATGGAGACTGGGGATGGATTTCCATGTGGCAGCAGTGACACAATGGATATTGATGTGTTGGAAACCCCAGAAGTGCCTGAGAACGATCACATGGAAGGTCCTGCTTGACTGACCCAATGTCCTTCTGTGACAAGATGACCTGCAGAGAGGATGAGGGGAAGGCTGTGGATGTTCCCTTCTAGACTTCCCTTTTGACAGCATTTTCCACAGTATTCTCCTGGAGAAACTGGCTGCTCATGGCTTGGATGGGTGCACTCTTCACTGTTAAAAACTGTCTGGATGTCTGAGTCCAGAGTGCTGGTGAATGTGCTGCATCCATTTAGCACCCAGTCACAAGCAGCGTTCCCTAGGGAGCAGTGTGGGGCCAATTCTGTTCAATATCTTTATCAATGACCAGGATGAGGGATCCAGGACCCCCTCAGTCTGCAGAAGACACCAAACTGGGCAGGAGTGTGATCTGCTGGAGGGCAGGAGGGCTCTGGACAGGCTGGATTGATGGGCCAAGGCCAATGGTGTGAGGGTCAACATGGTCCTGTCAACAGTGTCAGACCATGAGGTAAGAGTGTGCCCAGGTGGCCAAGAAGGCCAAAGCCATCCTGGCCTGTGTCAGCAGTGGTGTGGCCAGCAGGAGCAGGGCAGTGACCATCCCCCTTTACTCTGCACTGGTCACAGCCATCCTGGCCTGTGTCAGCAATGGTGTGGCCAGCAGGAGCAGGGCAGTGACCATTCCCCTGTACTCTGCACTGGTCACAGCCATCCTGGCCAGTGTCAGCAGTGGTGTGGCCAGCAGGAGCAGGGCAGTGACCATTCCCCTGTACTCTGCACTGGTCACAGCCATCCTGGCCAGTGTCAGCAGTGGTGTGGCCAGCAGGAGCAGGGCAGTGACCATTCCCCTGTACTCTGCACTGGTCACAGCCATCCTGGCCAGTGTCAGCAGTGGTGTGGCCAGCAGGAGCAGGGCAGTGACCATTCCCCTCAGCTGCTGTGTGCAGTTCTGGGCCCCTCAGTTCAGGAAGGACAGGGAGGTCACTGCTGGAGTGTTCCTGCTCTCTGCAACCACCCCAGAGGGGATTCTGGAGAGGTGAGAGTCGCTCTCCCAAGCCACAAGCAATGGGAGAGGAAATGGCTGGAAGATGCACCAGGGGAAGTTGAGACAGTAGGAATAATTTCTTCCCCAGAAGGGTTGTCAGGCAGCTGAACAGGCTGCTCAGGGAGGTGGTTGAGTCATTGTCCCTGGAGGTATTTAAAAGACAAAGCAGCTCACAGCTTAATCCTAGCATGGTCCAGTGTATGCTGATATTGTTTTTGGGTGACAAACACTAAAATTACACGTTCAGAAAACAGTTGTAATTGTGAATTCACAGAAGCACGATCGAAACCTTCCATTTGAATTCCCACAGCTCCCCCATGCCAAATAACACATATCTGCATGATGAGGCACATTAACTCATCTGACATCGAACATTTTTTTTCCTTGGATTAGTTTGAATAGTGAATCAATTTCCTGATCTGGTTCAGCAGGCAGACACAAAAATGTCCGTGCTAATGGAAGTGAGCAGCTCAGAAAATGAAAATGCTTTTGATTGACCTCTACCCATTTAAAGCATATGCGAAACTACCTTAGGGATGTTCTACACAGGCTGTCAGAACATACGGCCATTAACCACCAGTCCACTGGGGCTCTGGTCTCTCCCATTCTGGGATATTTTCTTGTATTATCCAATTATTGTTTTACATCAGAACTACCTATTAAAGTGTGCATTCACATTGTGGTCAAAGCTTACATACTGTAAGATATGATTTACTGTAAAGCCCTGAAGAATTATTGACATACCCACTACAATCTATTTCAAAAATTTATTTTCCTAAACATGGTACTTTGTAAATTTTTAATATATACCCTTTACAGTAACTGATGCAGTGTAACATTCACAAATATTTTCAAAGTGTTGGCAATTATCTCAGCAAACACCATTAATCACTGTTTTCATTTACTAATAATATGTAAAACCACAATTCAGTGGCCACTTCAGCCTGATAATATCATAATTGTATGAAAAACACTGTGATCTGCTACTGTATCAGTAATTTATTTATTTCATTTTGCAGAAAATTATTATAGCTGATGTGGACAAAGCCTTTTTTGCTGCAGCTGAAAAAAGTCTGTGAACAATCCATGTCATGTTTGGATATGAAAAATGGGTCAATGGCTACTGAGATGATGCTTCCAAAAGCAGAACCTTCCCTACAGCCCAGCTTTAGGAAAACACTTCATCTGACAGCATACATTCTTTTTAACAAAATCCTCTTAGTAGGTACTGGATTAAAAAAAGTAATTTAACTGTATAAATGGACAGAGAGAAGATAGCGAGGAATGAGACTTCTTTTAATTTAAAAATTGCATAATATTTTAGGACTTCACTTGAACCAAACTTCTTCCCATTGCTTTTACTTACCTGGAGGCCACAAAAACAACCCTCAGACAAGCTATTTTCAGTGCTTTGGTGAAGCTGGTGAGAATAGCACACTTTTGGGGAAGAAATGAACCAGGAGAAAGCAGTGCATGCTTGTAGTAATGCCATTCTTCATACAGGAGTTACCAGTTTTGTCTTCTACCAAGATTAAATCATGGGTAGCACATTTGTTAAATTGCTCAGCAATTAAAACATTTACCAATCATGGATCAGAGGAGCTCTTGTCCAAGGGAGGCACATTTCTCTTAATTAAAACAAAGAAAATCTAAGAAGATTCTATTGCGTAACACTTTATATGAAACCATATCTTAAATCTTCATCAAAAATAGCAGATAATCACAATGAAGAGAGGATTATTCTAAACTGATTGCATATATACTCTCAATTCAAACTTGTTTCTTCATCCCTATTGTATTACTTGTGGATAGCTACTGCCCCAGACAGGCAACTGCTGCAAAATGAGGAATTTTTGTCTTTATATACCAATATAGTTAGTGGAGACATCATTCTGAGACCAGACTTCAGGTGCAGCACACTGAATCTCATATTATTTAGCAGCCATAAGTCTATAGTAAAAACAGGACACTCATTACCCATTCCATCTGACATGAACAAGGAACAGCTTTTGAAAGTTTTCTTTGTTGTGTTTCGGTGGAGAAATATTTTAGATACTCCTGGAATAAAGGGTGAAGGAAATCTACATACTGATTATAAATTAAGACCAGTGTTGACTTTTATTTACAAATTTAACAAACAAATTCAAGTAACTATTGCATCAATCATTCAGATTTTGAACATTACTAAAAACCACAATTTTATAACATGTTGTGTTGCATTCTTCATGGAGCTGTGATTACTGTTCTACATTTCTCTTTCTCCCACGAAGCCACCTCAGAGCTCTCATCACTGCAACTTGTCCCATGAGGAATGTGATCCTAAAGTTATGTTTATACCAATCTCTAGGATTCCAAAGCCAAGAAAATCATCAGCACACAGAACAAGAACAGGAAAAAAATACACAATGATATTAAACTATCCTTTGGTATTGACAAATGCTATTTCATTGATGAGCTGCATTTTGTGTTCTTTGTGGAAACCCTTTTCCTGCCTAGTAAGAGTTAAATAACCTGTGAAAAACTCTATGTGTATATCCACACTCAGGAACAGACTGCACATGGATTACAGGGTTGCAACTGCACTTGGAATGAGGTGAGATACAATAGTTAAACCCATGTCTCATGTTTCAGAAGTAAAGCAGATCACCAAGCTATCTGGACTACCTGCCAGTGCTGTGGTTCAGGTAAAATTTGTTTGTGTGTGGATAAAGATGCCTGTGTTAAAAAGGGCAGAGTTGGTCTCATACAAGGGTGGCAAAAATAAAATCAAATCACACTTCAAAGGCTAATTGTATAACCCAACATTACCCTTCTACTGCAGTATCTTTTAAAGATAATGCCTTTAATATTGTCAGTTAGTGTTTATATCTTTAAATCATTTTTTATTAATCATGCACGGCTTCTGGAACCAATTAAAATTATTCACAGTATAGGCTGCATCAGCCCTTTTTAACCTCTGCAAACTTGCTTCAAGTTCTTTGCCCCTGTTACAAATTAAAATAATACCAAATTTTTTTTCTAGTTTCAAATAAGGATCTCACTTCCATGTTGTGAAACGCTCACAAGAAGCAATAGGATACACAGAATTCTGTAACTAGAACACTAGGATTTAGGTCTTCTCCTGAGATGTCTGGGGCAAACCTTGCATGCACAGATCTAACATAAGCCTGAGATACCAACCTCTCAGTGAGGACAGCAGCCAAATTCACACTGACAGGCAGCACTGAGCTACCCCTTCAATTGTCATGTTAAATAAAAGTATTATGCTAGCATTGCAACTGTTTCTTTTCCCCTTTCACGTTTAATTTCCCATATCCTTCTTGATTTTTTTTCCAAAACTAAACTCTATTTCCAGTCTAAGTACCCTGAACTAAATATTCAAGGCATCTATGCACAGTCATTGCTTCAATTTTAACTACATTTTACAAGTTGCAACACTTCAGCTGCCAGTTTTCAGGCCAGCTGGCAATACTGCAAAAGAACATACAGCTAAATGCATAAACAGATTTTTATAAATATGACCCCTCAAAATCAGACTGCCTGTAAAAAGCTCTGCTGTTTTCAGGGCTGTGCAGTTCCACTTTGAAACTACAACAATGCAGCCAACACAACCTGATTTTCCAAGTCAGCAGCAAGGAAGGTCATGTATAAGTACAAAGCCTGAATTTTCTTCCCCTGAAGATGGGATACTATCCTAAAGTCACTACAACAATGGCAACTGGAAACCAGTCCTAAGATAAACTATTTGCATTCCCACTTATCAATTATAGGCAATGTATTGACAATCCTTTCACTAAAAACAATTTCTTACTTTGCATCTTTTCATGCTGTTGCTTTGGATTATGGTGAGATTCCCCCTTGCCCCCTCCATGGGCAAGATAAGATTTGTAGATTTAAATATTTATTAGTTAAATTGTTCTTACAGGATTTTACAGTATTTTATGGTTTATGGACAATATACAAAGAAACTTAAGCCACCAGTGGTTACAGATCAGTGTTTGCAGTGATGGCACAACTCTCACTGGCATCACACCATGAGGAACCCAGTCACACCTGACATTTGAGCCCAATAATCTCCCAATCCAGTACAGAGAGGAAACTGCAGTTGTGCTTTCACATTCAGTAGTCAGCATTCCTGGATTAAGTGCTGTCTTCCTTCACCTTCCCATTCCTCCCTCATTTCTAGCCCTTTTTCAAGAGTGCACAGCTACTTGCAGGGGTATGTGAGTTTGCAAGTCATTTTCATCCCTTTGAGATCCCCAGTCCAGTTTATTGAGTTGTTGTACACACAGTAACACTGAAACAAGGCAGGAGATGCTCTGAAGAGTTGGATGTGGGTTCACCAAGATGTAGCTGAGGTTCTACCCAGGACTGGTGATCAATTTATGCCTTGTCAAACTGAAAAGCTGATCACTTTTTTTACTAGACACTTGCAAAATAACAGACCCAGGATTATTAAATATTACTCCCATTAAATGATTTTCCTTTGAGATAAATCACATTTACTTGTCCTTATTTAACAGTCAGCTAGAGTCTGTTATACAGAACTTTCAAGTGGTCTATTTGCATATTTATCAGTTTCAATTAGCAGCATGAAAAGACCTGTGCCCTAAGATAATAAAATGTGCCTGATCTTGTCTCTCTGAATTTCAGACTTGAGCTTATCTTTCCACTAAAACAACAATAAGCAGCAGCAGAACTCAAATGATAATGCAGATTTGTCATAATAACAGCATTAAAAAAATCATTTTCCAAAATTACAGGGGTTTGTGCTGTTTTACCAATTACAGGAAAAACATTCAAATTTTAAACTTGATCTTATATCATTCACTTAAACTGTAATGTATAATGGTCAACATAAATACCTTCTACATACCTGTTGTACTGCAAATGCTTTTTAAAATTTTTACTTAGAAAGTCCTTGTAAAAGTCAGCCATTTCTTCTGCACTCAGTGTTGCTTTTTGACCTGAAAATAGGTTTTGGTGTAACAAAGTCAAGGCAATTCTTTGGACCAAAACACTGGGTTCAGATGTTAGGTCTAACTCCTTGCTCCTACAAGCTTTCTGTGTAAACCTGAACAAGTTAATGCCTTTAACTTTCAACCTTTTAAAACTTATCTAGAGAGCACAGCAGATTAAAAATACTGATCATCTTGAAGCTGGCATAGTTCTTAAACCCCTATTACTTGTGCAAGTAATAAAGTTTATCAGCTCTTAGACTGTTTAGGGAATCAGTAAGCCCCTATGAAAATGTGCATAGATCTAGGAGTATCTTCCTTTGAATAAAATTATTTCTCACCAGTCTGAAGCATAAAGAGTGCCAATAAGAGCACTGAGTAACTTAATTTCCCCCCCTAAAGCAAGTCCATAAATATCAAAAGAACACTATCCACAACTGACATGGTATTTTCAGATGTAATTCTTTTTCTCTTACTGTTAATAAATTCCAAGTAACTTCAGGCAAAAAGTTTATGTTCTGAGATATGAGACTTCCAAATAATCTAGTAGGCAATTATTTTGAGAACAAAAGATGATTTTGAATATGTCACTCATAACCAGAATATAAAAGGTCCAGGAAGACCTGTGGCTACAGCACAAGATGTCTAATCCTGAGAACCAGCAAATATTCTCAACTCTACCAGACAATTCCTACACAACCCTTCTGGCACAGAATGTCCCTAAAATGACAGTCAAATTTCAGTGCCCCAGGGAACATGGATATGATGAGGGAAATGGAATTGCAATATTCAACTTGCTATGCTTCCAAAATGCATTTTAAGGCTTTTGAGATTGACCACAGAAATATAAATTATTGATTGGTTCTATTTGTCATTATTAAAAAAACTAATATACCACAATGTATTAACATACTATGGGATAAATCAACTATAAAACCATTTGAAGGCTGCCAGGTTAATACTTAGAGTTAATTTGTTTCTTCATACTGGTATCAGAAAACTGATTAATTACATAGGAAAGTAAGTTTTGTTCCAACTGTTTGTGTATATTTTTATTTGTACAAGCATTCACAGCTGTACTATAGAACAGTTGACCAAAGGCATGCAGTTGATATAGATTTCTTTTTAATGGAAGTATGTGGTCACTCTCTTTTACTTCTAAAGTATAAAAGCAAAACAAAAACCCCAACAAAACAGCAATGTAAAAGAAGTGGGTTTGAAACAACATAAATCTTAATTAAAATTACTTCTCAAGCAGTGATCACCAGAATACAAACAGAAAAGAAAAATAATGGTCTGTGACATACAGAACGTCAGAGCAGATGCTTCACTGAACTCAAACAGATCATTATTCTGTGAACAAAGTGTTCAACCTCATACTACAATGCCCAATTCACCATTATTATGAAGGCATTTTGTTTTCATTTTCACACAATGAATTAGAGGGACAACTATTTTACAGCAACTGTGCCCAGGTAGAGACAGGCAGATAGCAGCTGCCTTACCCCCCCTCAAGGAAAAATATTGTATTCACTGGACACACCATGGACCTGGAGCCAAAGACAGTGAATTTATCCACCATTCATAACATGCACTTGAGGCAAATGCTCTGTGTGTTTATCTCAGGCAGCTCACTGGCTTAGGAGGTGTGAAAGTAAAATGTCCCTTCCTCCTCCTCAGGCTACACAATTATTACATTACTGGGCTAGGATTTCAGCACATTTCCTCAGGCTGCAGGGAAGGAATTAGGGGGAGAACAGTGCAAGAGATGATCTGACCCCCACATGCACATCTCTGAAAAGCTCCTTGTCTCTTTTATTATCACACTCCTGAAAACAGCTCTAAATCCTACCCCTAAGATTTACTTGTGACAGAACACAAAGAGCTAACAAAATTCAAAGTTAAGCAGAATTCAGAATGCATCCTAAATTATTAACAAAGATCTCACTAACCTGATTCATCTCTCATTTCCAGACCCTTGGCTTTCAGTCTTGAATAAATAAATTCTTCTTTTTCCTAAAACATGTTTTTCCACATTAGAATGGGATGTAGTCAGTCCTTGAAGTTAACCATTGGTTTTAATTACATAGCAATGTGGTGTTCAACACCCTTTGAAATAACTAGCAATACTTGTTATACTTGCAAGTGTCAACTAAACATCTTTCTTAGTCTAGTGAGTTAAACTGGTCACTTAGATCCTGCTACCTGCATGCATCAATTAATTCATGCAAGTGTCCTACTGATACTCATAAAATTGATTTGTGGAGTAAAGACACAGCCATGTGAGTCGTGTTGACTGACAGGAGTCAAACTTTCAGTTTATAAAACAAACTGTGGAAATGTGCTGTACTGTATAACTGAGATTTTGAGCATAAAGGAAAACATGCAGCCTAAAAAATGAAAATTATTTAGACACAGTAATAATTTGTGTGTGAGTTTTACAGACTTAAAAACAGTTCTGTGGAATTCAAAAAAAACCAAGCTTCATTTTTTCTGAGATCTTTGCAGTATTGAGAGGATATGATGTTCAACATCATAAACAATGGTGAATTACTGAACTGTTACTGTTCTTGCAAAAATGCCACATTGGCTGGGAGATGCTAAAATCAGGAAAGACAGACTCACTTTAGCCTTGCTGGGATGTGCTGCCAGTGAAATGGGACATATCATTTACCCTCATTTAGTCTTGGTAATTACACCAAGTTTCTCTTACTTATGACAAGAGAAAAACCAGCCGTGAAATAATTTTCAACAGCTGCTCTAGCCACAGACAGGTCCAGCATATCGGGCAGCTACAGCTTTATAATTTCAGTGCAAGACAGGAAAAAGGCAAATACTCTATGCCACTAGGCAGCAATAAAACACGGGGGATTTTTAGTTTTGTGCATCACTTAAATAAATGAAGGACAAAACCATTATTTCCTCCATGACCCTGAGGGCGTTACCAGCGGGCAGAAGCGAGCCCCGGGTTTCGGGCAGGCAGCAGCAGCGGGCGCGGGCCCGGCGGGCTCACCTGGCGGAAGGCGCGGTTGTGCCGTGCCCAGAAGCGCTGGTTGCTGGCCTGCGCCTCCTGGCGCGCCTCCCGCAGGCGCCGCTCCAGCGCCGACTCCTCGGGGGGCACGTAGAAGATGACGGGGCGCAGGTTGGAGTGCTTGTCCGGGGGCCCGATCCAGTCGCTGTGCGAGTGTGGAGGGGGACGGAAACCCAGGCCCTGCAAACACAGACACAGCGCGTTACCAGCACCGCTGCGGAGCTGCTGAAGGACCTCGCAATTTGGAATAAATTCCCAAACGCCACGAAGCCTTAAAGCATGCAAGCACAGCAAGTTCAGAAATAAAGCACATTTATTTACTGTGTCTGAGTATTTTTCTTTAATCTTTTGTTTGTTTGTTTTCATTTTTCTACCACTCTATTAAAATATTTTACGGCGGGAACCAGCAAGTATCCAAGTTTTTTGCGGCGCGGATCTCTGCCCTCTGGCGACCAGTGCCAGCACCCGAGGGAACAGTGAAGCTTTGGCAGGGGAAGTTTAGGCTGGATATTACAGGCTCTTCACCCAGAGGGCTGAGGGTCACCGGAACAGACTCCCCAAGGATGGGGTCACGGCCCCAAGCACGACAAGCTCAAGGAGCTTTTGGACAACTCTCTCAGTGGTGCGAATCTTAGGCCTGTTCTGTGCAGGGCCACGAATCGGATTTCGGTGACCCTTGTGATGGCCTAGAAATTCATGTTTTATAATTCTGCGATTCTAAGTTTTCCCCAGCCCGGCGTTCTTCCCACATCCCTGTGCCCACACACAGGCGTGTGCCTGCCCCAGCCAGGTCCGGAACACCTGGGGTTAGCCCACAGCCCGGACCTCAGCGCCCCTCCAACACCCAACACCGGGGGCCTCGGCAAACACATCAAAAACCAGAGGCCGCGGGGATCGCGGTTTGCTGCCGGCTGCCCCCGCCCCGCCGGCGTTACCGGGAGGCAGCCGGAGCGCTCCCCGCTCAGGGCTCGGCGGTGCCGGCGGCCCTCGAGGCTTCCCCCGCGGCCCCCGCAGGAGCCGCCGCCGCCCCCCGCCGGGTTTACCACTCTGTCCGGCCGCTCCCCGCGCTCCGCCGCGCGGCCGCTGCCGGAGGAGGCGGAGGAGGACGCAGAGGCGAGGGGGTGGCGGCGGTAACAGCCACCGGCCCACAGCCCCCGGGCGGCCGCCATGGCCCGGCGCTTTACGGCGCTGCCGTGCGGGGGCTGCGGGCGGGGCGGGGCCAGGTCGGGGCCGGGCCCGGGCCCGCCTCGGCCTCCGCCTCCCTCTGCGCGGCCGGGCCGGGCGGGGCTCGGGCGGTTCGCGGCGCTCGGCCCGTGGCGCAGCGCCGGGCCGGGCAGCGGGTCCTCGCCGGGCGGCGGGTGAGTGAGTGAGCGACGGCGGCGGGTCGCGGGCGCCGCGCGGGTTCGCTGCGGGGCCGGTGGGGACGAGCCTCCCGCAGGTGCCTCGGCGGCGGCCCGGTGTCATTTCCTCTTCGCGCTGCGCCGGGCCCCACCGCGGGGGAGGCGGGAGGTTGCGGCCATGGCGGGGACGAGTTCAAAGAGGCACCACCAAGGTATGTGCGGGGTCGGAGCGCTGCCCCGCGGCTGTGGCGCCCGAGGGCCGTCGGGTTCGGCCGCTGTTCTCCCCTCGCTCCGGGTTCTCCCTGGGCTGCGGGTGCCCTGTTTGCTCTGCGGCGGCTTCGGCTGCAGAGCAGGTGGGGAAGGCTGGGGGTGAGCAGCCTAGAGCTGGGCTTGCGGCAACTAAAGCGTCGCCCCTGCGGCCCGGCCGGGAGAAAGGTGTAAAAAATATTAAAGGGTTATGAAATATCAGCTGAGCGGTTTATTCGTATTGGTGAAGGTACTTAAAATAGCTGTAGTGCTGAAGTGCTTCAGAATGTAGAAGTTGCAGTGTGTGCTCGTGTAGCACTTATGCAAGTCGTGTTCTCGTTTTCCTTGTAGCTCGTCAGAAGCCGGACGGGGGAAGAGGAATGGATATGGGTAACCAACACCCATCCGTGAAACGGTTACATGAGATCCAGAAACAAGTCAAAGAGATCGAACAGCAAGTGGCTGTCTTCAGCGGTCTGTCCACCGACCGAGATTACAAGGAACTGGAAAGAAACCTTACGAAACAGCTTTTTGAGATCGATTCTGTGGACACCGAAGGGAAGGGGGATATCCAGCAGGCCAGAAAGCGAGCTGCCCAGGAAACTGAGAGGCTGCTGAAGGAACTGGAACAAAATGCAAACCATCCGCGCAGACTGGAAATAGAGGCTTTATTCAAGGAGGCACAGGCTCTTGTGGAACGCGAGATCACACCTTTTTACGAAGGAGGAAACGGTATAAGTGATGAATTTGAAGAAGGAATTCAGGACATTGTGCTGAGGCTTACCCAGGTGAAAACTGGAGGGAAAATTTCTCTACGCAAAGCAAGATACCGGACTCTGACAAAGATATGTACTGTCCAGGAGATTATAGAGAATGCTGTGAAGAAACAGCTGTCCCTGCCACTCTCTAATGATGTTCATCCTTCTGTCTCCAAAATTAACTCTGTAATGTGTGAGGTGAACAAAGCCAGAGGAACTCTCATTGCGCTTCTAATGGGAGTGAATAGCAATGATACCTGCAGGCATCTGTCCTGTGTGCTCACAGGCCTCATTGCTGATTTGGATGCTTTAGATGTCTGTGGCCGCACGGAAATAAGAAACTACAGAAAGGAAGTAGTAGAAGAGATCAATAAATTGCAAAAATACCTGGACTTGGATGAAGAAGCAAATTCTACTCAGGCTTATGATTTGGCAAAAAATCAGTCCATTCTGAAAATAGAAGAGATCCGTAAGAAGATGAAGGAAGTTCATTCCTTACTTCTAAAAACAGAGAATGCCTCTGATTTGTATCTGGGATTGAAATCAGAGTTGCAGGGACTAATTGCCCACCTAGATGAAGTGAGTCCAGGAAAAAATCCCTGTATTAGAGAGGCCAGGAGAAGAGCAGTAATTGAAGTTCAGACTCTTATAACATATATTGATTTGAATGAAGCGCTGGAAAAAAGGCAAAAGTATCCAGAGCAAACTGCTGTTGAACATCGTTGCCATAAAGCAGTTTGGACTGTACTTGGAAACTTGTCTCAAATTCAGAAAGAGGTGATTTCGTTTGATGGAAACAGAACAGATAAAAATTACATGAGACTGGAAGAACTTCTTACAAAACAGCTTCTAGCCCTGGATGCAGTTGATCCGCAAGGTGACGAGCGGTGTAAGGCTGCCAGGAAGCAGGCAGTAAAGCTTGCACAGAATATTCTTTACTATCTGGACATGAAAACAGACGAATGGGAATACTGAAAGAGCCATGGCCTGACACGGAAGAACATTTTCCCCTTTGGCACCTTAGGAAGATCATTGGCAGCACATAATAAAGTATTCTGTGCCTGCTGAAATCATGGAAATTGCATAAGCAGTTGACTTGGCTATATGTCTGCTATCCCACGCAGTCACCCACTTGCCATGGCAACTGTCAGTACACCATCAGCAATTCTGGTCACTGATATAAGCTAAGAAGTGCAATTCTCTGAAGGAATAGCTTAATACTTGATCAAATATCTTCTTTTTTTTTTTTTTTCTTCTCTTTTTCTTTCTTGTTTTTGTTTCAATAGCCTTGTGCAATGTTCAGTGAATGCAGGTTTTTCAAAGACACAGAAACTTCCTTATGGTACAATACTGGCAAAACTATTTAAGGAGACTGAACATGAAAATTAGTATTCAGGCATGAGGCTCCATCCAGCAACTTCACAGCAGTCTGGATGTCCTGTTAATGTGCTGTCATGACATAAAGTACTAAGGGCAAAAAGCCTTCTGGCTTTTGGATTGTACTTGATTTATTCCATCCATCATAGCATCTAGATATCTCAGTTCATGGAGCCATAATGCCAGCTGCAAATTAGCATTTACATAGGCAAAGCCAATTATGTCAATTTTTGTAATAGCTGAGCCCTTTGATTTGCAAAACCAGGTCTTTTGTTGGTGGAAATTCTTTCAAGTTATTGCTTTGAGGTACTGAGACTTGGAGAGGAAAATCTGTACATTTATACCAAACAGATAAAGGGGATTTTGAGGATTTCAAACTGCCATCCATACACCCTTGAAAACTGCACTGAACTTTATGTAGTGGCTGCTTAGGTGTCTTTTTAAACTCTGCTGTTGTGTCTGGTTTTCACATTTGGCGAAAACATAAACAGACTTCACTTTGAAGTGAAATGTGCATTTTGGAATTATTTTTGTAAAATTAGGTAGCCAGCTATAAAGATGTCCCTAATGATGTAAGTATGTGCTACATGGACAGGTGTGGCTTCGAGCACGTCTTGGAAGGACTTGTGGCAAATGTCTCTCTCTGCAACTCATTCACTTATTTCAGAAGCTTCATAAATAAGCTTGCTTGTACTGTTGTATGCGCCTACCTTTTTATTTGTGGCTGCTAGTGCCAATCACATTTCTACTATAGCATGTTTTTTGGCATTTTTGAAAGCATGGCATTAAAATTATTTGAGTATATACAGATATATATAAAGAATATCGATATATATATATAAAGGTATATTCAGTTGTGGACAATTTGCACTCAGCTCTTTCAGGATGAGTGTTCTATAGATGATGGTTTGCACCACTTTAAGGAGTAGAAACCGTTTCAGATGTTACAATAAATATTTTTAAGATCTATTTTTGACTGATTAGAGAAGACAGTACTGTCTGTGAGAGACAAGTGCCTTTGTGACACTGCTATCTTGCACCGTCATATGTAGATATAGGAACTCTTTACTGGCAGCTTGATACATTTGTAATCTTTGCAAACTGGATTTTTCAGGTATATATGTAATTCTACTGTAGTATATGTCAAGCTAACACAATACAGCAGGTGACAGTTGCCCTATAGAGTCCTGAGGATGAGTATCAAATTTGGGAAATTCGTATTCTGCTTAAAAACTGAAGCATTGGTGTGGAGGTGGGGGACTTTGGGCAGGTCTTCTGTGCCTATTGCTACAAGAATAATATGTTTGTTCATAACATTCTATGAGATGTTGATTGAAGGCTGCATACCTTCAGAGTGTGAATAGATTTTGTTTGTGATTGTGCAGGTGATTGCTTTGCAAATCTGCTTGCCAAAACCGACGTAATTGAGTACAGTGCCTAAGGCGCAATTTGGCAATGACAGAATGTTTGTTGGAGGATTCTTCCTGCTCCTTCAGGGACACAACCCCGTGGAATTTAACTCTCCTTCGCTAAAAAAAAAAATCCCCCAATTAAAATTCCAATCTCTGTTTGAATATTATGTGGCTAACACAGACTATTAATAATGTTATACACCTGAGTTATTTTACTCATTTCAAGTTCTCTACATGTTTGAATTGCAACTTGTGATTTGCACTTACATTTTTAGGAAAGATAAGGATTTGATATTGTAATGATGTTAATAATTTTTCTTCAGTGTTACTGTTGGGTCTGCAGTGGTTACTTGTAGTTTGTTTGAGCAGTTTAGTGTCTGTGTTCTCCAGCAGATACATGTAGTTTTATAAGCATTTGAGCCTCTTTTGTTAAAATGAGTAAGTATAGTTATCAGATCTGTCCTATTTTAAATGTGTCTTTTAGTTTTCCTGGGCGGATTGTTATGCCTGCATCTCTAAGAATGCAAATGTGTAATGATAGTGTAATTTGGCTGACTGAGTCCAGTAGCAAGATATTATGTGGATTAAGCTTCTTTCCTTTGTTCTGTACTCTGATAAATTGACTATGTAAATTTTGTGGTATAATCCTCATCTGGAATGGGTTTAATTCACAGTTTTTGCATGAATAAAAGTAATAAAATATATGTGCTTAACAAGAAAAAAAAAAGGCAAAACAAAAAAACCCAAAAAACCAAAAAAAGAAATGCACAGGTTTCTCAAAAATTTGCTTTTATGCTGAAGAATGTAATTTCTCTGTTTTTCATATCCAAAGAGTCAGAGAGACACAACTTTTCTTTCCAATACAGCAGGCTAAAATAATCAACAAAATGTAAATGGACCAAATGGCAGAAGCCTGCATTTTAGTGCTGTACTAAAATAGAATAACTTTTCTGTGTGCTGCGTTACGTACCTTAGAGCAAAATAATCGAGTGGATATTCTGGGGGAGAGGTAATCCTGCATCATGATTCCTATTTGTTAACCAAATTTCTTTTTAAACCAGTTTTCTTCAGTTACTTCAGTATTTTGTTGTTGTTGTTGTTTGCCACTCAGAGTGGTTTCTCTGTGATTTTTCTGGATTTCTATATCACAGAAATCCACATCTGTGGAGAAGATTTTTGTTAAGTACAGTTCTTACCTTTTAAACTTAACAGAAGTCAGTGTCTGTGCTCCTAATGGTGTACCTGTCTTCAGTTATTGCTGTGTAGGAGTTGACGTTTGTGTTCACAGATCCAAGTTTAAATATTGCAGTGTTAAATTCTTGATTATTATTACAAATACATTACTGCTTTTACTAGGTATTCATTTGAATGTTACGCCCTGATGCCTTTCTCTATTTATTTTTGAATGTGAGTTATCAGAATGTAAATTATTTTTGTCTTAGAGCAAGTGTTTTTATTAAACATAAAGACAGAAAGCTCTTTTTTCCCCCCTCTTCTTGAAAAGTTTGCTTTTTCACTGCTGTATTGATTAAAATAAAGTTCTTTGTGTGGATACCACTCCTACTTGCTAAATCTGGTGCCTGTTGGTTTCTCTGCATTCCCAGCAGCAGCTTTGCAGCCTGCAGGGTTGCACTTGGCTGATGGCTGCAGCAGTGCTGGTGGCAGTGTGCAGTTCTTGCCACTTTGCCTTTGGAGGATGCTGCCTGAGCAGATGAGCTGGTGAGTCTGATGGAGTGATTCTCTTGGTGCAAAGTCAGCGTGGAGGGATCCCAGAGCCTTTAGCAGGAGCCCAGCTGGGCTGGTTTTTGGCTGTGCACGTGTGGCAGGTTCCCTGTGTTCCCTGGCTGCTCTGCTGGCTCCCTGTGTTTTTGGAGGTGCAGTGAGTCATGTTACCAGCTTGCTGCTGATGGAAATTGGGAATTCTCTCTCTGCCCAGAAAGCTTTGTGCAGTTTCTGCTGCTTGGCCAGCTTCCGTGAGTGATTGAATTCAATGAAATGGGAGAAAACAAACAACAAAAATGGAGGAAGGGGTTTAATGAACCAAACTGGCTTTCAGAAATGCATGTGGGCCAGAGGTGCTGTGAAATGAAGGGGTGGGTGGTGCAGCCATGGGCTAGGGAGCAAATGGTAACAATTCTGGTAGCAGCAAGTCATTAGATCAACTTGCAAAGTTAAATAACTGAAGGAGGAAAAAGGAAAGTGTCAAGTATCGACTCCTGCAAAGAAGTAGGAATTTTCTGCTTCACTAATGGGATGTGATGAAGGCAATACAAATGAATCATGTGTGGAAAATAAACCAGTGGCTTTCAACTGCACTTTCATGATCATGTCACAAGGATCCTTATGGAAGGTAAGGTTGGAAAAGACTGCCAAGGTCTGGTTTTGTATCTTTGTACAAAGTACAGTCATGTTAAAGTACTACACAGGTTCTGGAAAAGCCTTGCCCAGAAAATACTGGGTAAGAGCAGGGTTTATAAAGGTTGAATGTTCCCATAGGTAACAACTTCACTGTATTTTCTTTCCCTTTTAACAATAGAGCTTATTTGAAGGAAATATATTCTTCAAAGACCAGTAAATCCTTTGGGCCATGGCTCTAGATGTTGCTCAGCCAGCTGCTGACCAGTTTGTCTTGATTGCCTGTTTACTTGTCAAAGAGAATTAACCTTGTAAGAATATTTTTTGTGTGTGTTTTGGTGCCTGAAATGGTTCAACTGGAAAACCACCATATTTTATTATACTATTATATTTATATATTACTATATTTATTTTAGGTGTATCCTCTCCTTTGGAGAATTCTCAGCTGAGAATTTAAGGAGTGGAAGGACATTAGCACTGAGCTCATAGATTGAAGGCCTGGGGGTTCAAGCTGGCTGCCAGAAGGAGACATTTAAATGGCAGGATCCAGGAAAACATTCCTGCTGGAGGAGACTGCTAGCAGAGACACGACCAAATGTTTTTCAGAGCTGTGTGTCTGTCCCTCTGCTGCTGATGAGCTTTCATTGAGAAAGTGGATTCTTACTGGAATATTCCCCAAAACACTCTAGAGCTTTTTGTTTTAGATTAAACTGAGAAATTATGTTTAAAGCTTTTGCTGAGCTGTGGTGGGGCTGACCTGGGTATCATTCTGATTTGCTCCATGGAACAACCATGTCCACAATGTTTTCAGCTATATGGGTAGGCATGTACGTGTCAGCTAAAAGCTGGTCATTAGCTGAAGAAGATGAGAGTGAGCTGTGCTTTTGTCGAAGGCTTTGCACAACACTTACCCATTCTCTACACAGCCTTTGGTTCTGGGGACTGCCAAACACAGATGATTGCATGAGTTGCACTGCTTGACAGCTCAAAAAATAATGAGGGCCTTTTCTAATTCTCCAAACTCTTCCTACAGGACATAAATTGTTGCAGAGTTTGCCATTAGAAATGGAAAAGTACAATGAGTTTCTTAATTGGGCCATTTCTCCTCAATTAGTTTTGCCAGACAAACTTCTGTGCCACAGGAGTTCCTTGTGAAACCTGTATTTCAGGCAGCTAATCAGGAGCATCTCATGAGGGAGGAAACACCATGATGGAGTGCAACGTCCTTAGTAAGGTCCAGTACACACATCCCAAACCAATCTGTGATCGTGGTCACCAGGAGTCCAACCCAAAGAAGCACAGAAACAAGAAAGCTGGAGGAAAACAAAACAAAAAACTAGTGCAGTTGTCAGGTTTGACCAACTTAATTTAGTTTTATGACAAGAAAAACAAGCAAAGCAGAGCTCCCTTTTGGCTTGGTGCAGTTGTACATTGTCTACACCCTGCAGTTCCACATTGTTTTCCACCCTATGTCACCCTAAGTGCTCCTCCGGGGCACGATGTAGGTGATGGGGGTTAGCCTTGGAGTGCCCTCGGGCCAGAGGGTCCCACCCATCTCCAGGGATACCATAATTGCCTTCATTCTCTCTGAAATGTGTGGTGTGGCAACTCCTAGCACATAGAATATCAGCATGGCTTGCTTGCACAAGGCAGTGTGCAGCATGAAGGTGATACTCTGTAATAAATTAGTAATTGGAAGGGGTTGTGTAATAACTGCTAGCAAGTCTGAGTAAGATATCTTTTCAGTGTTTATGCTGAATTTATTAGGTTTTTAAAGATAATTCCGTCGTAACGTTTTATTCAAATCAACCTGGAGCCTGTGATCAAGTGTCTCTTGCTTACCTTCCAGAATGGCCCATGTTAGTACCACATGAAAAGGAGGTTTGAAGAGCTCCATGTCAATGGATATGAAGGGCCTCTGCTCACTTTCAGACAGGCAGTGAAACCCAGATTTTCCAAAACAGTCAGCATCCAAAGTTCCCACCGTGACAAGTAAGGGCATGTTTTGAAAAGAAGCCCATGCACAGACCCAAACACTGTCATTTCTTGTCACAGACAACCACAGGATCATCCCTGCAGCTAATCAAGAAGCCACTTAAAATGGCTTTGCCTCATT